TTCCTTCTCTCCTCACCTTTTCTTCCTCCCTCCCTCTTTCCTTCTCTCCTTCCCTCTTTCCTTCTCTCCCTCCCTCTTTCCTTCTCTCCCTCCCTCTTTCCTTCTCTCCTCCCTTTCCTTCTCTCCCTCCCTCTTTTCCTTCTCTCCCTCCCTTTCCTTCTCTTCCCTCCCTCTTTCCTTTCTCTCCCTCCCTCTTCCTTCTCCCCCCTCTTTCCTTCTTGCCTCCTCTTTCCTTCCTTCCCTCCCTCTTTCCTTCTCTCCCTCCCTCTTTCCTTCTCTCCCCTCCCTCTTTCTTCTCTCCCTCCCTCTTTCCTTCCTCTCCCTCCCTCTTTCCTTCTCTCCTCCCTCCTTTCCTTCTCTCCCTCCCTCTTCCTTCTCTCCCTCCCTCTTTCCTTCTCTCCCTCCCTCTTTCCTTCTCTTCCTCCCTCTTTCCTTCTCTCCTCCCTCTTTCCTTCTCTCCCCCCTCTTTCCTTCTCTCCTCCCTCTTTCCTTTCTCTCCCTCCCTCTTCCTTCTCTCCCTCCTCTTTCCTTCTCTCCTCCCCTCTTTCCTTCTCTCCCTCCCCTCTTTCCTTCTCTTCCCTCCCTTCTTTCCTTCTCTCCTCCCTCTTTCCTTCTCTCCCTCCCTCTTTCCTTCTCTCCCTCCCTCTTTCCTTCTCTCCCTCCCTCTTTCCTTCTCTCCCTCCCTCTTTCCTCCTCTCTCTCCCTCTTTCCTTCTCTTCCCTCCCTCTTTCCCTTCTCTCCCTCCCTCTTCTCTCCCTCCCTCTTTCCTTCTCTCTGTCTGTCTCTGTGTCTCTGTCTGTCTCTGTGTCTCTGTCTCTCTGTCTGTCTCTGTCTCTCTGTCTGTCTCTGTCTCTGTCGTGTCTCTTGTCTCTCGTCTGTCTCTGGTCTCTGTCTCTGTCTTCTGTCTCTTGTCTCTGTCTCTCTGTATCTCTCTGTCTCTCTGTCTCTGTCTCTCGCTCTGTCTCTGTCTCTCTGTCTCTTCTGTCTCTCTGTCTCTCTGTCTCTCCTGTCTCTGTCTCTGTCTCTGTCTCTGTCTCTGTCTCTGTCTCTTGTCTCTGTCTCTGTCTCTCTCTCCTCTCTCTCTCTCTCTCTCTCTCTCTCTCTCTCTCTCCTCTCTCTCTCTCTCTCTCTCTTCTCTCTCTCTCTCTCTCTCTCTCTCTCTCTGTCTCTCTCTCTCTCTGTCTCTCCTCTCTCTCTTCTCTCTCTCTCTCTCTCTCCTCTCTCTCTCTCTCTCTCTCTCTCTCTCTCTCTCTCTCTCTCTCTCTCTCTCTCTCTCTCTCTCTCTCTCTCTCTCTCAGTGACCCGAGGTAGAATGTGCTGTAGCATTGAAGAGTAAGTCAGAGTCTTAGCACTGGGGACATGACTAGCTAACCCAAAGCAGTGATTTGTCCTCAAGACTATGCACTCTATCTTCTCCTCTCTCTCTCTACCTCTCTCTCTCTCTCTCTCTCTCTCTCTCTCTCTCTCTCTCTCTCTCTCTCCTCTCTCTCTCTCTCTCTCTCTCTCTCTCTCTACTCTCTCTCTCTCTCTCTCTCTTCTCTCTCTCTCTCTCTCTCTCTCTCTCTCTCAGGTGCCCGAGTAGAATGTGCTGTAGCATTGAAGAGTAAAGTCAGGGAGTCACTAGCACTGGGGACACACTAAAGCACTGCGCGGACATTGGACTAGCTAACCCAAAGCAGTGAATTTGTTCCTCAGACTTGCACTCTATCTCTCTTCCTCTCTCTCTCTCTCTTTCTCTCTCTCTCTCTCTCTCTCTCTCTCTCTCTCTCTTCTCTCTCTCTCTCTCTCTCTCTCTCTCTCTTCTCTCTCTCTCTCTCTCACTCTCTCTCCTTCTCTTCCCCCCTCTTTCCGTAACTCTCCCTCCCTCTTTCCTTCTCTCCCTCCCTCTTTCCTTCTCTCCCATCCCATCTTTCCTTCCTCCCTCCTCTTTCCATTCTCTCCCTCCTCTTTCCTTTCTCTCCCTCCCTCTTTCCTTCTCTCCCTCCCCTCTTTCCTTTCTCTCCTCCCTCTTTCCTTCTCTCCCTCCCTCTTTCCTTCTCTCCCTCCCTCTTTCCCTTCTCTCCCTCCCTTCTTTCCTTCCTCTCCTCCTCTTTCCTCTCTCCCCTCCCTGCTTCCTTCTGCTCCCTCCCTCTTTCCTTCCTTCCCTCCCTCTTTCCTTCTCTCCCTCCCTCTTTCCTTTCTCCTCCCTCCCTTCTTTCCTTCTCTCCCTCCCTCTTTCCTTCTCTCCCTCCTCTTGGCCTTCTCTTACCCTCCCTCTTTCCTTCTCTCCCTCCCTCTTCCCTCTCTCCCTCCCTCTTTCCTTCCTCCCTCCCTCTTTCCTTCTTCCTCCCTCTTCCTTTCTCTCCCTCCCTCTTTCTTCTCTCCCTCCCTCTTTCCTTCTCTCCCTCCCTCTTTCCTTCTCTCCCTCCCTCTTTCCTTCTCTCCCTCCCTCTTTCCTTCTCTCCCTCTCCTCTCTTCTCTCCTCCCTCTTTCCTTCTCTCCCTTCCCTCTTTCCTTTCTCTCCTACCCTCTTTCCTTCTCTCCCTCCTCTTTCCTTCTCTTCTTCCCTCTTTCCTTCTCTCCCTCCCTCTTTCCTTCTCTCCTCCCTCTTTCTCTCTCCCTCCCTCTTCCTTCCTCCCTCCTCTTTCCTTCTCTTCCCTCCCTCTTTCCTTCTCTCCCTCCCTCTTTCCTTCCTCCCTCCTCTTTCCTTCTCTCCCCTCCCTCTTCCTCTCTCCCTCCCTCTTTCCTTCTCTTCCCTCCCTCTTTCCTTCTCTCCTCCCCTCTTCTCTCCCTCCTCTTTCCTTCTCTCCCTCCCTCTTTCCTCCTCTCTCTCCCTCCTTCCTTCTCTCCCTCCTTTTTTCTTCCCTCCCTCTTTCCTTCTCTCCCTCCCTCTTCCTTCTCTCCTCCCTCTTTCCTTCTCTCTGTTCTGCTCTCTGTGTCTCTGTCTGTCTCTGTTGTCTCGTCTCTCTGTTCTTCTCTGTCTCTCTGTCTGTCTCCTGTCTCTGGTCTGTCTCTGCTCCTCTGTCTGTATCTCTGTCTTGGTCTGTCTCTGTCTCTTGTCTGTCTCGTGTTCTGTCATCTGTTCTCTGTCTCTCTGTCTCTGTCTCTGTCTCTGTCTCTTGTCTCTGTTCTCTGTCTCTTCTGTCTCATTGTTCTCTCTGTCTCCTGTCTACTCGTCTACTGTATCTCTGCTCTCCTGTCTCTCTCTCTTCTCTCGTCTCTACTCTCTCTCTCTCTCTTCCCTCTCATCTCGTTCTCTCCTCTCTCTCTTGCTTCTCTCCTCTCTCTGCTCTGCTCTCTCTCTACTT